CACTGGCTTCAGGCTCGATGCCCCCCACCCCCACTGCTTTTTTCTGGAATATAAATGCTAGCTGAGGGGAAGAAGTGATATCCCTGGCAGAGCTACTCCAAACAGGCTGGGTGGTTTCACTGTCCCAGTTGGAGCCTCAGATGTACTAAACAAAGGCCAGTCAGTCTCCTTATGGGTAAAGGAAGTGAAATAATAAAAATAAATGTCAGTAAACAAATCCAGTGCAATCAAAAATCCCACCCTCAGTCCTGGCTGGTGGGGCTCATTGGATTGAGCGCCAGCCTGTGAACTGAAAGGGTCACTGGTTCGATTTCCAGTCAGCATACATGACTGGGTTGCAGGCCGGGTCCCCAGTTGGGGGCGTGCAAGAGACAATTGATCGACGTATCTCACGCACATTGATGTTTCTCTCCCTCTCTTTCCCTCATTCTAAAAATAAATACAATTTTAAAAATCCTACCATCAATTGTGATGAATTAGCTCTAGGAATCGGGTTTCAGTGGAAACAATGTAGGAATCACTGTCAAAGTGCCAGAGTAGCTGCACTTTGTAATGAAATGTCAATGGAGAGAGGCCAGTGGCCACCCAGACTTCAATTTCTGCTCTATAGCCCTCTGCCACAAAGAATTTACAATTGAGTCTTTTAGTGTTGCTGAAAGCTTTGCTGTGTAGACATCTGAGACAAACAGTAAGAGGTAAAGGCACCTCAAAACCTAGTTTTTTGTCTTTTTATTTTTTATTTTATTTTTAGAGAGAGGGGAAAGGAGAGGAGAGAGGGAAGGAAACATCGATGTGTGAGAGATCCTCTCGCCCACCTAAACTGGCGACCCGGCCCATCAGTCAGACATGGGCTTTGACTGGGAATTGAACTGGCAACCTTTCAGTCCACAGGCTGGTGCTCAGTCCACTAAGCCACACCAGCCAGGGCTAGTTTTGTCTTTTTCTAAAAAGGAATCACTTCAATAACAGGACAGAAGGAGCATTATTCCTCAGAAAGCCAATTAGCAGTCTCCCCCAGGGTTGCTGCCCAACATGGACTGAGACTACAGTGCTGTCTCCTAGCAGTAGCTCACTGTTGGTGAAGGTGCTAAGAATCAGACTAGTCCTTTGGGAAGGTAACATGGTACATGGCATTCTCATTACTGTAGCACAGTGTGTGCATGCTCTGTGTTTTAATGAGTGGTTAAGAGCTAAGAAAACATTCTTAGCCCACACTACCTTTTCTACAGTACAAATACATTAAATTTATTACTACCAGTGTTTTTTAAATTTTGACCTTTCATTATAATGTTTTGTTTCATTTTTACTTGACATATACATACAACGTAATGGTAGATATTAGGTGGGAAGTTCTATGAGTTTTGACAATTGTACACACATGTAACCACCACTCCAATTAAGATACAGAACATTTCATCACCTCTGAAAGTCCCCTCACGGGCGTCCAATTAGTCACACTCACTGCAGCCATCCCGAAGCAAACACTGTTCTGGTTTCTATCACTATAGTTTAGATATGCCTGTTTTGAATTTATATCAGTGAAATAATGTACCATGTACTCTTTTTGAGTCTGCATTCTTTCACTCAACATAATGTATGACATAGCAAATCACTCACTTGTGTTGTTGCATGTATCAATAGTTCATTCCCACTTCCGGCTAAGATGGAGGCATAGGTGGAAACACTATGCCTCCTCGCACAACCAAATTTAAGGACAACAAAGATTTAGAAACAAAAACACAACCGGGACAGAAAATTGAACTGTATGGAAGTCCAACAATGAACCATTCAGCCAGACGGTAAGAGGGGTGGAAATAGGGGCGGAGTCGGCGGAGGGCTGAGACAGGTCCTGGCAGGAAGAGGTGGTGGTTGGCAGACCCGGACACAGGGAGGAAACGAGCAAACCCGGTGAGGAGTGCAAGGTGGCTGGCTGACTGTGGACTCACATTCACTGGCTGATAAACCAGGCAAAAAATGGGCAGTGAGACAGACTGTGCCACCCAGGACCCCAGCACTGGGAAATAAAGCCTAAAAGCACCAACTGAAAACACTTGTGGGGATCGAGGTGCTGGGAGAGGCCCCCAGCCTCACAGGAGAGTTCACTGGAGAGACCCACAAAGTCCTAGAATGTACACAAGCCCACCCATCAAGGAACCAGCACCAGAAAGGCCCAATTTGCTTGTGGGAAGCAGCAGAGGGGACCAAAATCCGAGAGAGTGGGGAATAAGTGCCATTGCTTCCTCCCTGACCCCGCCCCCACATACAGCATCACAACCCAGCGAACTGGGTGGCCCCACACTGGTGAACACCTAAGGCTCCGCCCCTCAATGTAACAGGTGCAACCAGACCGAAAAATTATGGCTCAAACAGAAGAATAAATCAAAGCCCCAGAGCCAATACTTTTAAGCAACCAAGAGATAGCCAACCTATCAGATGCACAGTTCAAAACACTGGTGATCAGGATGCTCACAGAACTGGTTGATTTTGGCCACAAATTAGATGAAAAAATGAAGGCTACACTAAGTGAAATGAAGCAAAATGCAGAGGGAACCGATAGAAAGGAACCGATGGAAAGGAAACTGGGACTCAAACCCATGGAGTGGACCAGAAGGAAGAAAGAAACAACCAAACAGAAAAGAATGAAGAAACAAGAATTCAAAAAAATGAGGAGAGGCTTAGGAAGCTTCAGGACATCTTTAAACGTTCCAACATCCAAATTATAGGGCTACCAGAAGGGGAAGAGGAAGAGCAACAAGTGGAAAACTTATTTGAACAAATAATAAAGGAGAACTTCCCCAACCTGGCAAAGGAAATAGACTTCCAAGAAGTCCAAGAAGCTCAGAGTCCCAAAGAAGGTGGACCCAAGGAGGAACACACCAAAGCACATCATAATTATATTAGCCATAAAAATGAGAGAATTCTAGAAGCAGCAAGCGATAAGGGGACAGTCACCTACAAAGGAGTTCCCATCAGACTGTCAGCTGATTTCTCAAAAGAGACCTTACAGGCAAGAAGGGGCTGGAAGGAAGTATTCCAAGTCATGAAAGACAAGGACCTACATCCAAGATTGCTCTATCCAGCAAAGCTTTCATTTAGAATGGAAGGGCAAATAAAGTGCATCTCAGATAAGGCCAAGCTCAAGGAGTTCATCATCACCAAGCCCTTATTATATAAATGTTAAAGGGATTATCTAAGAAAAAGAAGATAAAAAATATGAACAGTGAAAGGACAGCAAACTCACAGTTATTGAGTGAGTACCAACCACACCTAAAACAAAAGCAAACTAAGTGACAGCTAGATCAGGATCGAAGCCACAGAATTGGAGATCACATGCAGGGTTAGCAACAGGGGAGTGGGAGGAGGAGAAGGGGGGAGAAGGTACAGAGAATAAGTAGCATAGATGGTAGGTGGAAAATAGACAGGGGGAGGGCAAGAGTAGTGTGGGAAATGTAGAAGCTAAAGGACTTATGACACATGGACATGAACTAAAGGAGGGGAATGTGGGGGAGAGGGGGTGTGCAGGATAGAGGGGAATGAAGGGGGGAAATGTGGCAACTGTAACAGCATAACCAATAAAATATATTTAAAAAATAGTTCATTCCTTTTCTTTTGCTCTGTAACTCAATGTTATTGAAAGGTATAGTTTACATATAATAAAATGACATTTTACATACAGGCATACCTCAAAGATATTGTGCGTTTGGCTCCAGACCTCCATAGTAAAGCGGTTATGGCAATAAAGTGAGTTGTAATCTTTCTGCTGGTGGAGGGTCATGCCTTCAATTTGTAAAAACCCAACATCTGTGAAGGACAGTAAAGTGAAGTGCAATAAAATGAGGTATACAGTTCTAGGAGTTTTAACAAATTCATACATCTAATCCAAATTTGAGACCTAGATCCTGACCAGTGTTGTTCAATTGTTTTGGGTGTTGTCCAGCGAGGCAAAAGGCTGCCCGTTCAATTCCCAGTTGGGGTGCATGCCTGGGTTGCAGTTTGAGTCCCTGGTCAGTGTGCGTGCTAGAGGCAACTGATCTGTGTTTCTCTTCCTTTCTTTCTCCCTCCCTTCTCCTCTCTCTGAAACTAAATGAGATCTTTTGAAAAAATAAAGTCATTGGTTATTAAAAATTAAAGAGTTCATATTCTAGGCCCTGGTTGGTGTGGCTCAGTGGATTGAGTGCTAACTGGCGAACCAAAGCATCAGTCACCTGCTGGATTCCCAGTCAGAGCACATGCCTAGGCTGCGGGCCAGGTCCCCAGTAGGATGTGCTCCCTTCCCCTCTCTCTAAAAATAAATACATAAAATCTTTTTTCTCAAAAGTTCATATTCTAGTGGGGAGAGACAAAAAGTAAATTGGCAACAAGTAAGATGATTTTTGACGGTGTGGAAATGCTCACTTAAGTATTATCAATTAATGCTAACATCAGAAAGGAGTTAAGACAATTTATGTGACAGCAACTTGGACTATTATGCCATTACATTGATTTTAAAATGACATTTACAAATAGCCGTTTAATAAAAAGGTCCAACTTTAAATCATATGTACATGTTGTTTAGGACTATGTAAAATACCTGTGCTATGATGGGTATGACTAAAAACTGGAATGACCCAGAAGAAAAAGACACCACGGTTGTATTTTATGGAGTGGGGGGATTATGAGGCGGGGGCGGAGAGGGAGATTTATGGGCTTTTCTGTTTCGTCGTTTTTTGTCTTACCCGTTAACGCGTTCTTAACAGTAGAAACTGCCTTCCTCTAGTATTCTCACAGCACTTTCCCTATGTACGCCTTTAGAGTTCAGAGATTCATAAACTTAGTGAGACGAGGCAAGTCTGAAAACGAAACCTCAACTATCTCACTGTGAAGCAGAGCACGGAGAGAACACACCAGAGGAAACTACCCACCTGCTTGCGCGTGACGAGAAGAGTCGCGGCCCGAGGCCGGCCCGGCGCGGAGTGATGACGCCTCGCGCCGTACGGAAACTGACGTCACTTCTCAGCACCGCCGCTTCCGGTCCGCGTTAGTGTGGTTCTCGCGCCTGCTGCGGGTTAAGGAGTGGTGTTGGCGCGTAGTGCGGTAATTTTCTACGCGGGCCCGCCTCCCTCCTTCTGGACCATGGCTACCGACTCCTGGGCCCTGGCAGTGGACGAGCAGGAAGCGGCTGTCAAGTCGGTTAGTGGCTTCAGCTCCTGGGGAGAAGGAAGTAGGAGGGCCCAAGCGGACCCTGTTTCGAATACAGGGAGTCCCACGCGTGGGGCAGACCGGGGCCCACCGGGGAATCAGTACTGATTTGCGCCTGGAGAGATCAATATCGAGATTTTTCTGTTCATCTGCGCCATTAGAGACTTTTATCCTGTGTCAGATCTGCCCTCTCTACGTATGTTGTCTTTCGTCGATTGCATTGCAGTGGGGTTATTAAGGAAAGGGAAATTTAAATGCCTATTCTCTTTCTCACCAAGAGTAGAAAGAGTCTGCTACTCTTATTTTAACATAATGTTTTTTTAATTTATTTTTAGAGAAGGGAAGGGAGAAAGGGAGACAAACATCAATGTGCGGTTGCCTCTCACGGGCCCCCCAGTGGGGACCCCGCCTGCAACCTAGGCATGTGCCCTGATTGGGAATAGAACCAGTGAGGTTGTGGTTTGGGCGCTCAGTGCACTAAGCCACACCAGCCAAGGCTTAACATCTTTTTAGATCCATGTTTAAATTAACAAGGTTGGCAGTTTGTAGCTCAGCAGAATAACAGATGCAGGTTTTATGTGTTTCAGTCTACTGCAGATGTTGGTGGGAAGCACTGCAAATTGTTTCATTGATGTTTAAAGTGACATTTAGTTTCATATACTGGTTCTTCTTTGATTAATGAATATCCAGTCAACTGGAAGGTAATCATAGTGTAAACTGTGATTTTCTGTTATATCTAAATGTAGGTTTGTTTAGTGAGAGTGACGATTTTAGGAATATAGTTAAACTTTTTGGTTTTGGGAGGCAGCGGATGTTTTGTTTTTGCAGTGTGAAATGTTATAACTTTTTAATGCCTAAACTACATTTTTCTTCTCCAGTAACCCTTTAATTACTTGGGGAGTGTTGTCAGTTTATCAGCACATATTTGAAATGGGCCAAACTCAGTGGAGAATAGGAAGAAGCTTCAGAGCCTAGTTAGGAAGGCTGGAAGGTGGGAAGTGCTGTGAAAATGGTAAGAATAATGTGCTGGCTGAACTCTGAGTAGGAGGAGGACATTTATGAGTAAGGAAATCAGGGACGTTACTTCTCAAATCACTTACATTTGAGCAGGATATTAGAGATTGAGTCATTTTAAGAGAGATGGAGGTGACAAGCATTTTAGGAAAGTAGAATGTACATTTCCCTGGAGAGCAGGAATCAGAACTCATTTTTTTGCTGCAGCTTGAGGTTATTGAGTTGTAGTAGGAGCAATATAGAAAATATTGTAGGGAGTGTACTCTGGACCTTAACTAAGAACTTACAAAACTTGCTTTATTTGTTTAGTGTGGGGATGTTTAAGGATACCAACCACGTTAAATTGGGAGCTGGCGAGATTTATTGGACTGCAGAGAACAAAATCTATTAGAAAGAGTGATGTTTAAAGGAGAGGAGATTAGTTGGAAGTTACTCTAATAGCTCAGAGATGGAAGGTGTATGTTGGGGGTGAAAATGAAGATGAGGGAATAGATTCTAGAGGTAACTGTGGAGGTATAACTGGAGGATTTAGAGAAAAGGAGAAAATGGAGATAAAGGCAAAGATTACTGTTGGCAACCTAGACCCCACAGGTGGTATTAATGAAGTGCTAGTAATAGGACTAGAGAGTGGGAAGAAGGGCAGATTTGGTGTGGAGGGTGGCGAGTTCACTTCTGACTGCTCTGAATTTGAAGTAAGGAGGACATCTTGGTAAATACCTGTGTTGGGAGTTGGCAAGAGTTTTCCCAAGTTTGATGATTTCTTAGTAGGATTCACAGGATCCAGCCTATAATTCTACTCAGCAATGGGTTGTTACAATGAAAAGATACAAAGCAAAATTAGCAAAAAGCAAAGGTATATGGGGCCAAAGTCCAGGGAAGACCAAGCACAAACTTCTTTAAAAAATTTTTTAACTTTACTTATTTATTTTTAGAGAGTGGAAGGGAGGGAGAAAGAGAGGGAGAGAAACATTGGTGTGAGAGCAACATTGATCAGTTGCCTCTCACATGTTCCCTAACCTGGGACCGAATCCTCAATCCAGGCATGTGCCCTAATCGGTAATTGAACTGTTAACCATTAGGATGACATCCACCCCAGTGAGCCACACTAGTTAGGGCCAAGCACAAACTTCTAAGAATCCTCTCTAGTGGAGTCACACCAGGGGTGTCAAACTCATTTTCACCAGGAGCTACATCAGCCTCGCAGTTGCCTTCAAAGGGTCAAGTGTAACTTTAGGACTCTATAAATGTAACTACTCCATAACAGTTAAGGGAGAGCTTGGCGCTTCTGCCCAGTAGAAACAAAGTACCGGGCTGGATAAAACAAGGTGGAGAGCCAGCTTCAGCCTGAGGGCCTTGTGTTTGCCTCCTGTGAGTCACACGCTCCACATTTGTGCTTAATTACTTCTGTAATGGATTATAACAACACAGGTGAAGTGTTGTCAGGGAAACTCATTAGAGACATTGCTTAGAGTTTTTATTGGGCTGGGCTTGGGGGAGGGAGGCTGTCACCTAGTCATCCTCTGCCTAGCGTGTACCCATATTCCAGACTCCCAAAGGAAAGCAGGTGTTAGCATAAAGCACATGTTTTTACAAACATAGTCAGGGAAACCCTCAGCAGTTCTGGAAATGGTGGGAACCCTCCCAAAATCCATGTTTCCAGATGCCAGTGGCCAGCCTTGCTAGCTGGCTTTCCTAAGGATAGCAGTCATGCTTTTTAATGTTAGTGTTTTTATGTACAATGCCCATCAGGCATTTGGAAATGTGGCGCTAGAGTTCAGGAGAACAATCAGATTAGAGGTAAAACTAGCAGTTAGTTATCCAGGAAGAAATCAAAAAGTATGATATAGTATATGGTTCTGGTGCTCTCAATTTTACGATCTAGTGTTTCACATCAGATCTTCCCTAGAAGACAGAATTGGTTTCAAGTCTTTTTAAACCTAGAACCCTACTCTAGCTGTGATACTATGAATATCACATAGGCCTAAACATACTTGGTATCTGATTTCAACCAATGTGCTTATCAGGAGGCTGATGTAATTCAGTGTTTTAAAGCCTTGCTTCCTAATAGTTGGTAAAAACCCTCCCCTCTTTTTTATCTTACCACGTAGACTTGTGTACTTAGCTTAGTAAATAATTCTTGGTATTAGGCTATTCTGTGGCTCTGCTCTCAAGTGTTTTCTTTTACTTCCATTCAGATCAGTAATTTGCAGATCAAGGAAGAGAAAGTCAAACCAGATGCCAATGGTGAGTCACTGGTAACTAACTGTAAGCTGGATACAAGCTACAAATTTGCATCTGCTTTGTACTCATAGCTATATAACATGAAAAGAAGGGAGCTTTCATTTAGCATGTTGGGCAAATGTCAGCACTGGATTTGACAGCCAGTAAAATCACTTTCACACTGAAGGGGATACATTGTTCTTCCAGATTTGATTTCACCTCTGATGCCTTAAAATCAAGAATCACTATTGGATTGTACTGTCACTGTTAATAATATTTCTTTAAAGTTTTTTATTTCATTTTTTTAAAGGTTAGTCTCAGTTCAAAACTCAAAGTATAAACAGGTAAAAGGCCTTCTCACCCTGGCCCATCCACTATTTACCCAGTTCTAACTCTCCACCTATATTGGTTTGCTGGGGCTGCCACAACAAAGTATCACAAACTGAGTGGTTTAGACAACAGAAATGTATTGTCTCATAGTCCTGGAGGCCAAAGGTCCAAGGTCAAGGTGTTGGCAGGATTGCTTCTTTTTAAGAGCTTTGAGGAGGGATCTGTCAGTCTTTGGTGTTCTTTGGCTTGTGGAAGCATCCCCCTGCTCTGTCATTTATCTTTACATGGTGTTTTCCATGTGCACATATGTGTTCACATTTCCCTTCTTTATAAGGATATCAGTCATATTGGATTGGGGGCCACCCTGATGATCTCATCTTAACTAATTACATCTGCAGTGACCCTATCTCAAAATAATGTCATTTTCTGAGCTGCATTCTTAGGACTTAAACATGAATATGGGGGAGAGCAGGCCCTAACCCATAATACTACCCTATTCTATTATTTACCACTCTTGGATTATTAATATTCTTCCAAAGTTTCTTTAGGCAAAGCAACTACAAACACAATTTATTCAATCAATTCTCCCTTTCTCTCTCTCCTTTCTCTTTTCTCTTTCTCCCTTCCTCTCTCTTACTGACTCACCAAAAGATGGCATAGTATACACAGTATGTTTTTTTGCACATGTGTTCACAGGTATATACATTTATGCTTCCTGGTGAATGAACCCTTTTGTATCCCCCTTTATCTCTGGTGATGCATTTTTGTCTTGAAGTCTGGATTATGGGAGCCACTTCATCCTTTTGTACTTACTACCATATTTTGCTGTGTATAAGGCATACTCAAGTTTTTGGCTCAAACTTTCAGGGGAAAAGTCTTTCATTTTAATTTTTAAATTCATTCATTTGTTTATTACTATTTAGATACTTGTTTTTGTATTATAAAGGAATTTTAGCATTTATTTTGATCATAATATGGGACAATAAGTTTTATGTAACTAATAATTACAAAACACCAGGACAGTTACAAGGTATTTCAGGTACTACCTGTGTATAATGTGCATCATTATTTTTCCATTAAAAATTTGGGCAAAAAAGTGCATTACACATGGCAAAATGTGAGTAGTTGCATGAAATGTCTCTTTGCTTCCCCTGGTTCTCCACTTCTCTGTGTCTTTGTATTTAAAGTGTGCCTCTTGTAGACAGCTGGCAGTTGGGTCTTGCTTTTTTATCCATAATCTCTGTCTTTTAATTAGTAGTTTATCTATTTACATTTAGTGTAATTATGTATGTCACGGGTTTAGTTTAACAAATTTATTACTTGTTTTCTATTTGTCCCTTTTATTTATGGGCTTTTCAGCTGTACTTCTTTGCATTATTTTATGAGTGTTTTTAAGCTTTCTTCATCTGAGTCTTGCATATTTTTTATTTCTAGGTGCAGTACTTTATCTTTTTAGTTGCTATTATAAATAGGGTTTTTTGAATTATATTTCTATTTCTATTTATGTAAGTTACCAATTTCTGTTTATTAAGTTGCTGGATACTTAGTCCTGCAAGTTTACAGTTATATATTCTATAAAAAGTGACCACTTTACTTCTTTCTTTTAATTTTTAACACCTGCATTTTCTTTCTCATATTTAATTATGTTTGCTAATATAAAGCTATATTTTATATTAGGAAAAGTAAGTCAGGTGATATTCTGATCACTTTAAGTCTGCTGAAATCTCTGGGAATTTGACATTTTCTTACACACTTACAAACTTCCTAAGAATAAAATTATTAAACACAAAGAAATGCCAACTATTTACCTTTTGATCATTTAAAGAAGTTTTAGTATTTACATTGTCCCACCTTCTGAGTGGGTTTGACATTTGCCTTTCTGATTACAACTGTTTTCTTGCATAGGTGTGATAAAAACCAATGTCACTGCAGAAAAAGCAGATGAGGAAGACAAAGGTAACTACTCTTTGAAACCCTGTAGCAAGACATAAAGTGTGACCCAGGACTTGCCATTCTGGAGCCAGAGGCACTTGGATCGTAAGATGAAGAAGAGGAGGAGTCCACAAAGGAGGCTGACAAGACACAGTCAGTGAGATAGAAAGACCAAAGACAGTGGTGTCCCAGAAATCAGAAGAAAGTGTTTCCAAAGGAGGGAGTTAAATATAGGTAACAAGTTGATTAAGAGACATTGATTAAACATTGTCTATTGGATTGATTTGGCAGTGTAGATATCGTTGGCAGGCTGAAGTGAGGTGAAGAGGTTCAATAAAAAATTATGCAGTGTACATTCAACAGAAGGGGAGGAGAAGAAATGGAGATGAGTAAAGATTACCATTTTAGGGACTGTTCCATAAAGGGGAAGGGGGCGTGTCACAAGGGCGGGGTTTGTCAGGTGAGTATGAAGAAAATCTGTTGGTTTCTTCCTGACAGAGGACAGAGCTGCCCAGTCCTTACTCAACAAGCTGATCAGAAACAACCTGGTCGACAACAGAAACCAAGTGGAAGTCCTGCAGCGGGACCCAAAGTCCCCCCTCTACTCGGTGAAGTCCTTTGAGGAGCTTCGGCTGTGAGTATTTGTTCCTCTGAACTGCGTCTCACCTGTCCCTCTTTTATGAAACTTAGCCTCTCAGAGATTCTTCTGGGAATTTTACTTTTGACTCTTTAAAAAGATCCTAATGTATTTATTTCTTTGACTAGTTCATTCTTCACATGATTCAAAAGTCAAAAAGTATGAAAAAGGTTACAGTGATGGTCTCCCTTGCACCCTTGGCTGCCCATTTCTCCTCCTCCCGACAAGGATTTTTATATGCCACAGATTTATTCGTCATAGCTGAAAGTCTCTTTTCTTTTATGCTCTTAGAACTTTCAATAAAATATTGGCTGACAGGGGATTTCTGGATGTCAGGAACATTTCTTATTAGGTAAGCCCTTTTGTTAGACTACAGGGTTTATGTTCTTAAGAACAGTTTTTCTGCTTTTATAAAATCTGTAAAAAGAGCCTGCACAGGATTCCCAGGACCTACAGTGGGAAGCAGCCATCAACATTCTGGAATTTTTAAAAATCCAGAACCTAGAATTACGTCTTAGGGGAGCACATGTACGGCATTGCGCTAAGAATGACTTCTAAATGTGTCATTATTTTAAAGAGGTAAATATGGAAAGTCATACGACGTTTTTTGTTTCTTCAGTAAGTTAGTAAAGAGGTGTTTATGGATTGTTTTATGTACATGCCACTGTGCTGGGTGTTACGAGTGGCATGAGACATGACTGCCACTCTTGTTGCCTGCCAGGGCCCAAATCACAGACGGAAAATAGCTGGTGAATAAGAAAGTGGTGGAATAAATGGATTCTTGGCCTGTATTCAGCAAAACCTGTTGCATGTCCACTGTGAGCAAATAGGGGCCACATTTCTGCCAACTATTACCGCTGCTTTAGAGTAAGAGACACTTAAAACACTAGAGTCAACTAGAAACAAATCAAGTAATGAAGTTAATTGAGTAATAGCTAATGAAGTTAATGAAGTTATAGCTAATAACAGGGTTTGTTTTTTTTTAATGATTTTAGGAAATTATACTTCTCTGCGTTATTTCCTCTCAGGGGCTAAGTATCAGTGGTTTTCTTTTTCTTTCTTTCTTTTTTTTTTTTTTTTAAGTTCTTTTCATTTAAAAGATTGGAGCCCTTAGTTCAACCATTGGCAACCTGTCCTCTCTGAAATGGCGCATCCTCTCTGCCTCAGCCTTCGGCAGCCAAAGGAAACAAAGAATGAAACCCAGGTCACCTAACACACTTGGTCTGTTTTGTACTTGAAAGATTTGAGTTAATCTACAAAATAAAAGGAAAAATTTAGCCACTGGAAGCTCTTGGGTCACTTGAAAATCCTCATTGGTTAGTGACTTTGTTGCCTTGACAACCACATCAGAATCCGCCGGCATTAAAGCCTTTTCTTCCAAGTAGCAGCCATCAAAGGTTGTGTTTTCCAAGTTCTTCCTGTCTGACACCAGCGCAGGCCAGAGGGAGGCTTAGAGAACAGAAGTCCTGGCTCCGTGGGACTTTTCTTTGGAGATAATCTAGTATGATTTTTGTTAAACACCCTGTCAATTTAGAGGTAGCAGAAAGATTATTGTTAAGTGCAACATCGTAGCAACTTTCATTGGTATTTGTGGCGTAGCTGCTGACATAAGAGGTTGGTGCTTTTCTATTCTTGATTTTGACTAGATGTTGCCTCCTGATTTTTCCAAGCTGGTTTTGGGAGGACTGTTGAATACAAAATGACTGGCTCGATTTAATATCTGCACTGCGAAATTAAAACTGAAATCCCATTCTCCAGAGGGACTTCTGTGTCTTAGCAGCATAGTAAGCAGTGTTACATTTAAATAAGTCTTATTTGATTTATTCTATATCGAGAATTGATAAATGCCACTCTTGCAGTGCCCAGAGAACACTTGTCCTCCAAGGCCAGGCATACTCGTGGGTCTGCTGAGAGCGTGGATTTCTCCGAGAAAGGGAACTCGTCTGTATTTTGTGATTTGTATAATAGTTAGAGATTAAAATTCAGTAGGAAAAAGATGGTTTCACTTTATTTTAAACTGATAAGAGCAGATACTACACTTGATCTTAGCTGAAAGGCCGAGAAGCAATATTATTTTAGTATTTGTTTTTTGGTTGTTTTTTTTTTTTTAGATTTTATTTATTTATTTATTGGGGGGGGGGGAGGGAGGGAGCGAAACATCAATGTGCAGTTGCCTCTCACATGCCTCTCACTGGGGACCTGGCCTGCAACCCAGGCATGTGCCCTGACTGGGAATCGAACTGGTGACCCTTTAGTTTCACAGGCTGGCATTCAATCCACTGAGCCACACCAGCCAAGGCTATTTTAGCTAGTGTTTTTTTAAGGCATAGAAAAATATCCGACAAAGATAGGATGTATCATTCTTTGCCAAATATAAGGAAGGATAAAATTCTAGGCCTTTAAAACCATCTCAACAACTAGGAATCCATCTTTTGTCTCCCTGGCCTCCCAGGAAACCGCAGCTGCTTCAGGGAGTCTACGCCATGGGCTTCAACCGACCCTCTAAAATACAAGAGAATGCACTGCCTTTGATGCTTGCTGAGCCGTGAGTGCGCACTTCTTCCAAATTTGTTTGTTTTTTTAAATTTAATCTTTATCGTATTTTTTTCCATTACCCTTTAGTCCCCTTCCACCCCCTTCCACCAGCAGTCACCACACTGTCGTCCACGAGCCCTTTTTCCTTTTAGCTCAGTCCCTCTACCCCCTCCCCTCCCCCACATCTCTCATGGGGTTTGGTTGGTTTACTGTCACCTACCAGCAGCTGTTTCTGTCCTGAGACCGTGATGGGACATTTGAGGCAACATGTTTCATTAGGGGAGCACCTTGGGCAAGTGCAGAGAGAGAGTGAGATGGAGTTCAGTATAATTTCTGCCTTTCCTGCTGAGCAAGGAAGACTGACCAACAAAGTAGCACTGTTATTCTGTGCAATTTTTAAAAATTAGGTTTTTGAAAATTATTTGGAATTTTCAAGACCTGAGAAAAGGTATTAAGAGCAATACCAAGAATACCTGTAACTCTGTTCTGCCAAGAAATAACCCACCATTAACTAGCGACAGCTGAAGCCCCCGAATTTCTTTCTGTTTATGCCATCTCCCACCAGAGTGCGCGTAAGCCCGAGTAGGCCGTCGTTCTCCCACACTTCTTTGTACCTTTACTATGTACCTATGTGTCCCTGAGAACATAAGAGCAGTTTACATGTTTTTAAACCTTAGTAGATAAATGATATACTTTATGTAGCAACTTTTTTGTTCAACTCTATTATTATAATATTTTTATTTTTATTTTTAAAAAGGTTGTGTTTATTTTCAGAGAGAAGGGAAGGGAGGAAGAAAGGGGGAGAGAAACATCAACGTGCAGGAGACACATCGATTGGTTCCCTCTTGCAATGCTCCCAACCGGGGGCCTGCCCACAGCCCAGGCATGTGCTCTGACTGGGAATCAAACCGGCTGCCTTTCAGTTTGCAGACCAGCAACCCACTGAGCCACACCGGGCAGGACAATTATATTTTCTTTTTTAATGACCCAAATGCCACCTATTTCCATGATAGTAAGTTACATGAAGTGAAATGTGAAGGCTCCCCCTGAAGCATCTGACTGGCTATCTTACAGTTTCCATAAAGGTGGAAAAGGGAGCCCACGAGGGGGCCAGTCCTGGAGACACATTGTGCTCAGTGGGAAGCGTCCTCAGGGATCATCTCGGCACAGATCTTACCCTGCAGTGTTCATGTCCACGGGGCCCACAGAGCACAAAACTAGGGCACTAACTGTGCTAGAGTCTAGAGTGAGGCTCTCTCCGTGTGGACCCATCTAAAATTCATTTCCCATAATTTTAAAGCAGTTTTTAAACAATATATAAAATATTTACCATTGTGTTCAATGCAGAAAACCTGGACCAAAGAAAGGGAATCCATATTCTTAACACCCAGAAAGAACATTTTGACACCTTTTTTGGTGTTTAACCAGTATTTCCTCTCTCTTCTTCTCTGACCCAGCCCGCAGAACCTGATTGCCCAGTCTCAGTCTGGTACTGGTAAAACGGCCGCCTTTGTCCTGGCCATGCTCAGCCGAGTGGACCCAGCAGAGAGATACCCCCAGGTGAGGTGGGGAAGCCTGGGGTGCTGACTTTCCTGCCCTGGGAAGGGCAGCGCCATCTTGTGGGGGACTGATGAGGAAGCCCCTGGATGGTTCTGAACATTTCCTATGCCTCAAACTGTGGCTCCAGCAGAGCAGGTCCTGGGTGGAATTCATTTGGAAGCAGCTTTAAACAATAGATTTCGAAGGCATCCACCCAGCCAAGCTGGAAGGTTGGCCTGGTCGAGGAGGATGCCGTTCTCTGCACTGTTCTAGTGGTAATAACATCAGCACACTTGTTGCTTTAGAGCCTGTTGTCTGTTACTAAAAGGGTCTCCTAAACTCCTCCTTTATGATCTCCCTGTCAGTGCCTGTGCCTCTCCCCGACATACGAGTTGGCGCTTCAAACAGGAAAAGTGATTGAGCAGATGGGCAAATTTCACCCGGAACTAAAGCTCGCTTATGCTGTTCGAGGCAATAAGTGTGAGTATGAAGGGGTGAGACCTAAGCAGAGAGTATAGCAGGGTAGTTGGGTGTTTGAATGTTGAGGAGGCGAAGATGATTATCCAGCTCTCTGGTTCAGTCTGACCTTAGAGCCCAAATTAATGCTTTTAGCTAATGTATTTAAAAATAAGATTTTTGTATTGTTAGAAAATCTCTGGGCCCTGGAGTTCTTTGCTAAGAAAACAGGGTTTTGAATTCAGCATCCAGAGTCCTGGAAGCTGCTTACTAGAGGGATGGCAGCACTCGGGGTGCGAGGTAGAGGCCGGACACCTTTCTTAGGAGCGAGCACAGCTTTAGCAAGAGTGAACCAAGAGCATGTACCGCTGACTTGGTCCTACAAACTCAGAAATCTTCCAGCAGTTTGTTCTTCACGTGCTCAGCAGAGTGTAATGTGGAGAATATGGGTTAAAATGGGGCGTGGGCAGTTAGAGAGTGGGTCATCAGAAAGTTATTGGAATGTAAAAAGAACTACAAATCATTAAGAGAAAAGGAAGCAGTCTAATAAAAGATTAGGCAAAAGAGACCTAGTTGTAGACACTTCACGAAAGAAGGAATTCAGATGGCCAGTAAACATGAAGAGATGAGGTTCACTAGTCAGAACAATGTGAATTAAAACCAGTACACACCTTTCAGAGGGGCAAAAATGAAGAAATCAACAGTTACCAGCGTTGGTGAGGACGCGGAACAGGAAAGCGCGTGCTCCCGATGGGGAGTGCGCGCTGGTACCGCACTCAAGGACAGAGTTTGGCGTGGCCTGGGAAAGTGGAACAGAGACGTCCCTCTGACCCAGCAGTTCATAAGTGCCTAGAGCAGCGGTTCTCAAATTTTTTGGTCTCATATTAAAAAATTATTGAGGACCCCAAAGCATTTTTATTTACACAGGTTATATCTATTGATATTTGCTATATTAAAAGTTAAAATTGAGAGGTTTTTCAAGTACTTTTGAAGACTATATGAGGGAAATCTGGCCTTTCATATAATTTTAGATTTTTTTTTTTGATGTCCCTCCAAAATTTAACAACTGGTAGTTACTTGAAAGTTAGTTGAGTTCTGACCAGTGTGGCTCAGTTGGTTGGGCGTCGTTCCACAAAGCCAGAGGTGGCTGGTTTGATTCCTGGTCACAGCACATGCTTGGGTTGCGGGTTCAGTCCCCAGTTGGGGTACGTGCGAGGGGCAGCTGATCAGTATTTCTGTCTCACGTTGATGTTTCTCTTCCTCTTTCCCCTTCCCTTCCCTTCTCTTAAAAAAAAGTTGCAGTGTGATATTGGAATACATTAATGAACTTTTCACACTGTTACATTAAAATTCCTTGGTTTCTCTTACACTTCCAGTGCATCCTTAGCCCAGTCTTAACGAGTTATGCTGATCTTCCAAACGTTGACACACTTTATTACACAAAAATATTTTATTTCATGCATTAATGTCACCACCCATCAGAGGGTTTATGCACATTGAGAAACAAACTTACACTGGCACGTACAAGTTTTCCTAAATTCTAATTCTGATTTTCTTTTCAAAGCTTAAATATTATAACGGCAGTTAATACATTAGATTGTATTCATTGAAGAGACAGGCATTCTTTTCTTATTTTACTTATTTATTTTTAAAGATTTTATTTATTCCAAGAGAAAGGGGAAGGGAGGGAGGAAGAGGGAGAAACACAGTGCATGGTTGCCTCTCACGCGTCCCCATCCAGGGACCTGGCCTGCAACCCAGGTACGTGCCCCGACTGGGAATCACCTGGTGACCCTTTGGTTCGCAGGCTGGCATTCAATCTATTGAGCCACGCCAGCCAGGGCCTTTTCTTTCTTATTTTAAAGATTTTATTTATTTATTTATTTTAGAGAGGAAGGAGGGAGAAAAGGTGAGAAAAACATTAGTGTACAAGAGCAGCATTGACTGGTGGCCTTTTGCATGCCGCAAACTGGGGACCTGGCCCTCTGTCTAGGTATGTGTCCTGACCAGAAATCGAACCAGTGACCTTTTGGTTTTCAGGCCGATGCTCAATCCACTGAGTCACACCAGCCAAGGCCTTTTTTCATTTTCGAGAAAGTATATATCAGATTCCCAACTTGAATTCCTATATTTCGTCAGTCAGCACACAAAAATGGCTCGTTCAGCTTACCACACCACCACAGAGCAGCCTTTCCCGGAGAGGACCGTCCCGCTTTGGCGCGCAGTGGAAGCACCTTGTCCAGACCAGAGACGCCTGGCTTGGGCAGTTTGCGCAGGTTCATTTGATAGCTCCAGCTGATGCGTGCCCCTGAGTGGCAACATTGGTCTTCTCCACATTGTTTTGTAGTAACATGGGACTTCACTGAATGTGAAGGATTAAAACATTAACTGTGTTCTGTGTATCATTTTTTAAAGTTTCATTTTTGACTAATAGACAATGGATGCTGAGAACCACGATGTGTTTAAGAGTTCATTTAAATTTATTCTGATGGATAGTTGATGAATTTCTAGTGAAAGGCCTTTTCTCCTCAAATTTTCAAACTTTATTTTTTTTAAATGGTTAAGACATTCACACATTTCAAATTGAAAAGGAAATGTGATAGAAACTCTTCTTCATCCCGGCCACCTACTCCTTCCGAAAGGCACCCGGTGCTAGGCAGTTTCTCATGTGTCCTGCCAGGGATACTCTGCAGCTGCAGTTAAGTAGTAGTGTGTGTATATATTGTGTGTATGAGTGTGTAACTGTGTAATGTGTGTGTACTCACATGCATGCACATAAATTACATGTATTCTTTTTGCCTCTTTTGGTATACAAACTAAAGGGGTTTTTTTTGTACATTTAATAATGTATTTTTGAGATTGCTCTGTATCAGTTCTTAAATGACTTTATACTCCTATTGATGTTATCCATTGGGTGTATCGTAGTTTACTTAATTAGTAAACTTCCAGTATGTGCATATCCTTGTGTGGATGTAATTTCACACATATTAATACAAACCCAGGACGAATTCCTAATAATGGAAGCATTGGTCAAAGGCTGCATGCATTAATAATTTTGATAGGTGGTTATATCAGCTTCAGCTCCCATTGGCTACAGTTTGAGAGTGATGTGTTTTTTCAGTCAAGGAGATTTGTACTTAGGGAAATTGTTTACACAATTAGAGTACTTAACAAAGCAAAAAAATCACCGAGCCAGAATCCTGGGACTAACAATGACAAATTTTGGAATCAGTCAGTGAACTGTGAGTGAAGGAGTGCTATGAAAAGAATAAGAGTGATGCTGAAGAGGAAGAGTTGGGTGATGTCGAATGATAGGAGAAGGTAGGAACGGGGAACTGCCACTGAGGGTGCACTGTGTAAGATTCAGTTCTAACCACAAGAAGTAAAGTAGGTATGTGTATTTTAAAATCTGGAATTAACTTAGTCTACTAGCTCTAGATGGTGGCCAAGTCTTGATTTTCAAGGCTGATTTTGTCCTAGAAGTACCCACAGAGCACATCTTGTCCCCACAGTGGAAAGAGGTCAGAAGATCAGTGAGCACATTGTCATTGGCACCCCTGGAACTGTTCTGGACTGGTGCGCCAAGCTCAAGTTCATTGACCCCAAGAAGATCAAGGTGTTTGTTCTGGATGAGGCTGATGTGATGATAGCTACTCAGGGCCATCAAGATCAGAGCATCCGCATCCAAAGGTAGGATTCTGGATCTGGGAGGAACTTCTCGCCTCCTGATCCACGAGTAAAAATCTTCCTCTTTGTGTCTCGTCCTGTGATACCAGCCCCTCTTCAGTCTCCTGCTGGGTTCTTTGCTTCAGAAGCTTCAGAAGCACATGCCTGATGGGCCCTGTCAGCACCGACCATTCTCCCAGCCTGGGCTGAGGGAAGGGCGGGACTTAGGGAATCTGACACCACTTTGTCCCTGCCCCACATCTGCTCCCGCCTCTGCCCCACAGTGCTTCTCCACCTCTACCATCTTCCTGGGGACGCAGACCACCCAAGCCTGGGGAGGCCGTGCTTGTGTGGGTTCCAGTGATAAACTCAGGGTCATGCCAAATACCTGGGCCTTGCCTTGCAGGATGCTGCCCAGGAACTGCCAGATGCTGCTTTTCTCTGCCACCTTCGAAGACTCTGTGTGGAACTTTGCCCAGAAAGTGGTCCCAGACCCCAACATTATCAAACTGAAGCGTGAGGAGGAGACACTGGACACCATCAAGCAGTACTACGTCCTGTGCAATAACAGAGATGAGAAGTTCCAGGCCTTGTGTAACCTCTACGGGGCCATCACCATTGCTCAAGCCATGATCTTCTGCCATGTGAGTAGCAGCAGAGGAGGAGCAGCGGGGGCTGGCCTGCCTGGGGAGGGGCTCCCTGGGGAGGTGTTGCCCAGGCCCTGTCTCTCGGCCAGCTCCACCTGAGTGTGGTGGGGGACCAGGCTCCCTCTGTGGCCAGGAAGGAAACGGTTTGTGAAGACATAAGAGGCGATTTATTCTTCATGTCCTGAGGTATACGCGGCCTAAGCACAGAGCACCTCGAACTTTTTAGTACTTGTATAAGCTGTATTATTAGAAAACACGAGAGAGGCAGCTGGTATTTATAAGAAAAATAAGAAACTAAACAAAACAGTTGGTCCAACACTAATATAAAATAACTAGTTTTCTAGTCGTAAATGAGAATACGTAGAAAGTGGAAGGAGAGATCCCATTTATAATAGCAAAAAAATTTTTTCCAGAAGTCAGTATTTAAGATTTCTGAAGAAAACTTCAGAATAGTATTTAAAGTACGTAATGAGACAAATCTTACTCTGTTGTTGGAAGACAGCAGAGTGGGGTCCCTCTCCCAACTTCAGATGGAACTTGCCGACCTATAGAAACCAACACGTACGCCCTTCCCCTGTTGTCAGCATTAAGTGACATTTGCTTTATCCATATCCACGTGTGTGACATCTGTACCTTTTCTTTTTTGCTGAGTTATTTTAAACATAGTTGTAGACATGGCCATTCACAACCGAATACTTCCTAAATGACTGTAATATTACCACACTTTAACAATGATCCTGTGACAGCGATACTGTCCCCTGAACAGTTTATCCATAATCCGTTTCACCACTTGTCACCAGCAGGTTCGGGGTTCATCAGCAGCTTTTAGTTGCTGCTGTGAATGAAGCCTAAGAGCCATTCAAAGACTGTTGCTTTAGTTGTCCTGTCTCTTGAGAGTCCCTTAATCTAGGACAGTTTCTCCCCCTTTCCTGGCACGGATGTCTTGAAAGATTGCAGGCTAGTAAGTAGAATTACTGATTTTTTCCCCTTCTGATTATTGTCAGGTGAAATATTTTTGTAAGATTACTACCCAAGTCACATTGTTACTTTCTGCTACACCATCACGTTAACAGTTTTAGGAAATTTAACCCTTAGCTGCCAAGTTTCAGGTAGAGTTTTCTAGATCAAAAACACTTTCTTTAGGAAGCTTCGCTTCTCAAATGTTTTCTTCCTTCAGACCCGCAAAACAGCCAGTTGGCTGGCAGCAGAGCTCTCAAAAGAAGGCCACCAGGTGGCTCTGCTGAGCGGTGAAATGATGGTGGAGCAGAGGGCTGCCGTGATCGAGCGCTTCCGAGAGGGCAAAGAGAAGGTGCTGGTGACCACCAACGTGTGTGCCCGCGGTGAGCAGAGACCTTGTCCTGTCCTGGTCTGCCACACTCGGGGCAGCGAGGGAAGTCCTCATAAGTGAAAATCTCAGATGGTTTGGAAAAGATCGGGTGGGTTGGTGGTGACTCTTTTTTCTGGGAGAGACTGGACTCCCTCAGCAGAGGAGAACTTGCACAGAAGCCCGGAGTCCTGGCCTGGTGGAAGGAAAGTGCAGGCACCTGACTGGTTTAGCACAGCACCTGCTCCTCTTGGGGCAGCCACTGAGGTTTTAGCTGCATCTCTAGACACTTGCGTCCAGCAGAGACTCTCCCAGTGACTTCGTAATCTTGTCAGCCCCTGCCAGAGCCCTGTGGTTTCCTCTGGGTTCTGCTGCGAGCCCTTGTCCCCGGATCCCAGAGCCGGCCCACCCAGACTCCTTCCACCCAACCTTGGTGTATGTGGCCCAACTGTGGGCAAATGACAGGGGCTTGTCCTCTCCCACCCTTAACAGTTCCCCACCTCTCCTTCGTGCAGGCATCGACGTTGAGCAGGTGTCTGTTGTCATCAACTTCGACCTTCCAGTGGACAAGGATGGGAACCCGGACAACGAGACCTACCTGCACCGCATCGGGCGCACTGGCCGCTTTGGCAAGAGGGGCCTGGCTGTGAACATGGTGGACAGCAAGCACAGCATGAACATCCTCAACAGAATCCAGGAGCATTTCAGTGAGTCCCTGGGAGTGTCCTCTGCCAGGGTCCTCTCCTTATAGGGGCACATGCGAGGGTGCGGGTCGGGTAGGTTTTCCTGTGACCCCCAAAGAGGCTTTGCCCCCGTCCACATTCCCTTCCTTCCCTAGAATATGGATGTTCTCAGGGAGCACACCTGGGGAGTTCAGCATCAGGGACTAGAACGACAGTCCCCCACTGGCCAGCCTGAGGGGCCTTGGGCTCTGACTGTTGCTGTCAGTACCTGTTCCTCAGGGACCAGAAGCCTTTTGGGTCAAAGGAAGGATGGTTGTGGCCAGAGGCAGGGCTGGCTCCTGGCCAGGGTGGAGACCTGTGTTTCTGTCCCTGCTGGCTCCCTCCCCTAGGTGTGTGTCTCCACAGTAACCCCTTATTGATTTCTCTTGGAATCTTTTTCCTCAGATAAGAAAATAGAAAGGTTGGACACGGACGATTTGGACGAGATTGAGAAAATAGCCAACTGAGAAGCTCCACCGGTCCCTGCACAGGAAACTAGTTCTTTCACCGCACAGGCCTGGGCAGTCAGCGAAAGATAAAGGCATGCGCAGAAAGAAACTACCTACCTCACTTTAAATTACGTTTGGACTAGACAAAAATTATGCAAATGATTGGGGAAGGTAGAAGGAAAATTTTGCATTTTGGAATATTTAGTCCTATTTCCCCCATTTTTTAAAGCCATGGTTTCCGTGATCTTTATATCTGGTTGCTATTGGTAATCCCTGGTCCCAGATCCCCTTCCTTTTTTCGGGATAGGGGTGTTAGGACCGGCCTCCAGCCCCTGAAGAAAGTATCGAGTGTGGGAAAGGCCCAGTGCAGGGATGGAGCATGGATGGGACATGAGGGGGCGGCAGCAGAGAGGCCAGGGAGCTGCTCCTCTCCTGTGTCCCTGACTGAGATCAGTCACAAGTGTCTCCTGCCCTTGGGGCCACTTCCTTTTCCTAAAAATCCAGAGATGTTCCAGTCAACCCTCTTAATCTCTGTTCTCTGTGCCAGAGGACATCCCTGTTTCTCCCTGGGTGAGCATCATGGCTACTTTTGTAAACCTCAGATTGGGTGGAAACTTGGAAATCAGCAGATCCTCCAAAGGATTCGTCTGGCAAGGGCAGGTGACATCTTCAAGGATCTAGGCCTGACTTGGCCTCTTGCAGTTGTGCCTGGTCGTCAGTCGTGGGAGCCCGGAGACCCTGGGCAGTGTGTTCCGACCAGTGCCTGGCCAAGTGAGTTGGTTCTCACCTGTGGGTGTCACACTGCCTGCAGGTGAGCAGCGCAGCTTGGAAATGGAGTTGTGACCAAGTGAGAACTGGATTATGCTGTTCATCCCTGAGAGTGGATCTGTTGGTTACTTTAATTCATACGTGGTATGAATATGGACAAATAAATTAGAGCTATGCCCATCATTCATTATGTTAAAATTTTTAAAATAATTATGGAACATTTTACTAATCTTGATTTGTCTTTATTTGTATTTTTCTGGTTATTAGACTAATATATGATCATAAAAGATATACTTGGGTGTGTACTTACATAAATACAGTGCAAGTGCTCTCTATCCCCACCTCCCTGGGCTCACCATTGCTAGCAGCTTGGTGAACATTCAGTATATTTATTGCCTTCTGTTTGCATATACCAACCTGCTGTGCTTGTTAAAAATGTAAGCATTCTTGTGCAATCTGCCGTTTCAGTTACCAGCACACTTCGGCATCATTCCAGCATGTGGCTGCCCGGCATTTATCTCACGGCTTCTGCCGTGACGGGCACACCAGGGTTTCACTGTCGAGCCACGCAGCGCCCCACGGGGCCGCGCTCACCCTGTGCCCTGCGGAGACTCGCTCCGGGACGAGTTCCTCGAGTAGAGCTGTCAAGTCAGAGTGGGGGCATTCAAACTTTTAATGCGTTGCTAACTTGGTTTGCCAAAGATTTTTATCAGCTCATGTTACTGCAGTTATACAAAAATGCCGCCTATTTTCTTAACTGCTTGCGAACCCTGTACATTACTAATTTTTAAAACTTCGCCAAGCTGAACAGCAAAAATTGATCATATCATTGCTTTTTTGTTTTGTATTTAGTGAGGTTTGGCAAATTTTCCGTTTATTAGATACTTGTATTTTCTCGGGCTGCTGCCCCTTCTTGTCTCACCATTTTACTATTGGATTGTCAATCTTGAATAATTTTTAGCCACCTTTTCTATTTTAGGGAAATTAAACTTTGTCTTGAGTGGTACATGTTTCCTAGTCTGTCTTTACAAACTCATTTTTTCTTACTGCTACACAAAAGTCTGATTTTAATGTCAGTCACATTTCGTTGATACTTTAAGAAATCTGGATGTTATGTCACGGCTGGAAATGTTTTCCCTCTCCGTGTTGTAGCGTATTTGCCCCGTTTCCTGTAGTGGCGGTTCTTGGGCAGTAACTTGTCTCAATTCTTGTAGGTCCTAGAATGTTTGGCCCTGCCTATTGGCTGTGCATGGTCATGGGTACATTAGAATGGTGACAGGGCTGTGGTGTGTGGGCTAGAGCTGTGGGGACTGGGTGAATGGGGGGACACAGAGGGTCCAGGTGGGAGCGGACGTGAGGGCCAGTGCAGGTGTATGTATGAGAGGTAGGTGCAAGGCACAGCTGGAGATGGGGGAAGGGTTCTGAGAAGAAAGGTTGTGGTTGAAAAGGGAGCAAACTCCAGGAAGGCAGGGGACCAGGGGAGGGGGCGGGGTGCTCCCCAAGGACACAGGCAGGGCATGGGAAGGAGGCAGTGGGGGGAGGTGGAGTGCCATGGTTCTGGTTAAGTGATGCCCGTTCTGTCCCCCAAACAACAGTGGTACAGAAAAGCAGAAAACAGAAAAGACCGCCTGAGCCAAAAGCAAGATGAATATTTCTGTGGACCAGCAATGGGGCAGCACCGTGGTGAGCACGGCTGAGGCCAGAGGCTTTTTGGGCACTAGTCCAGAAATGGAGTGGCTACAGGCCTTTAGGTGCTGTGGAGTAGAGACTTGGAAGCTCTGTACACAAGGCCAGACCAAGGCCAGGCTCGCTGCAGGGAGGGAGCTGGACTGAACCTGGCCTGCGCCCTGGCCAGACATGAGAGTTACGTTAAAACTGCAGCCCGGAAAGGCAGCGGAAGGACTTGGATCTCCCACTCCCTTGCCACCAGTCACTGGCACACAGTTCTGTTAACTGACTGACTAGTCTGTGACAGCTCCAGGTCACTGACTGTCAACGGGCCTGATTCTAGAATAAGGGCCAAAGGAGTGGGGAGCTGGATGTAGTCAACTTGCTAAACCCATTTGTGGATGGTGGAGAGAAGAAATTCAATGCTAAGAAAGACTGCGAACAACATCAAAATAAACTCATCCCAGATAAATTAATTTCACGGAATGGCCTGAGAGTTTACATGTTTGGGTGCTCAAAGAGAAAGAGAAAATACATTTACTGACAAAGAGCAAGGAATTTTTATTTTTTAAAGATTTTACTTATTTTTAAAGAGAGGGGAACAGAGGGAGAAACAGAGAAACACGGATCTGTGTCTCTAGTGCACGCCCACCAGGGATGCAACCTGCAAGCCAAGCAGGTGCCCTGACCAGGAATCAAAGCGGCCACCTTTTGCTTTGCAGGTGATGCTTCACCAGCTGAGCCATACTGGGCAGGGCAAGGGCAAGAGCGAGAAATTTTTAGACAAAAGCAGCAGTGTGCTCAGGCCCACAAGTGCTAACTGTAAAATCACCGGTAGCTTAAAACTTACCATGCTGGGAATATTTACACACCACAGAAACCAGCAGGTGCTACTGATCAAGAGTCTAGGTTTTTGATAGGGCAGTTGACTAGCATACCCTTGGGCAGAAATAAAACAAGATTAGAAATTTTAGAAGTGACAAAGGTGCACCCTGACTAAGTGGCTTGGGTGGAGCGTCATCCCACACACCGAAAGGCTGCAGGCTCCATTCCTGGTCGGGGCACATAGGGAAGGCAACCAATCGATGGTTCTCATCGATGCTTATCGCTTCCTCTCTCTGAAATCAATGAATGTATCCTATTTTTTTTTAAAAAGAAATGACAAGGGTAGTCACTGAAATAAACTAAGTGAGAATCATAGATTCCAATCATAGTTATACCCTTGATTTAAGGACAAGAATGCAAACAACCTAAATTTCAGTAGATTCACACAATAAAACTAGTTCTTGCTCCCATAAAGTCTAAAGTGGATATTTGTTTCATTCGCTCTGCTGGACACTTCTCTCCCCAGCTCCTTCCGTTAGAAAAATGTTGTTTTAGACTTTATTTTTTAGGAAAGTCAAATTTACATTAAAAATTGAGATGATCGTACGGAGGGCTCCTGTATGTCCCCCGGCCCCGCACCCAGTCTCTCGTGGTGTTGATGTTTTAGTGCGATATGTTTATTATAATTAATGAGCTGGCGTTGATCCTCAGATTTCCCGTTTTCCCCTGGAGTCTTTTCTGTGTCAGGTTCTCATTCAGGACAAAATGGTACATTTAGTTGTCACGTAGGGACCTCCTCAGGTTCCTCTTAGTGGTGACAGTTTCTTGTGCTTTCCTGGTTATTGATGACCTTGACATTTTTGAAGAGCATGTGCCAGGTATTTCGAAGGATATTCCTCTCTTGGGATTTCTCTGTTGTTCTTCTCATGATTAGACTGGGGTTATAGGTTCTGGGGAGAAAGTCCATAGAAGTCAAGTTTTATTTTCACCACATCACATCAAAGGCACATACTCTCAGCATAACGTCAGTGTCATCAAGGTCAACATAACGAAGTTTCATCATGGTCATGGATGTTGACCTTGACGACCTGGTTGAGGTAGTGTTTGTCAGGTTTCTCTCTTATCCCCTCTCGTACTTGACTCTTCGGAGGGAAGTCACTGTGCACAGTGCACATCTAAGCCACGCGGCGCTGTTCCTCGTCCTTGAGGGTGGAGTAGCTGCAGAAGGCATTGGGAATTCTGCATGGAAAACTGGTCTCATAAGTATGGACTGGTGATGTTAACCTTAATCATTTGGTTAAGGTGACTGGTATTTTAAGTATGGCCAACTTTAAAAATTTAGTTATTTCATTTATAGCAAAGAAAGGAGATTCCAGACCATTCCCTTAAGTGGCCTTTAGCGTGGTGTTTCACGGAGACGGGTTTCACGGGAAGAGCTGTGGAGACACAGCCTGGGAGACGGGAGCATCGGTTCATGGGGAGCTGGCTTCTTTTGCCTTCTGTGGGGCCCCTTTGCCAATTTTATGACAAATTATAGTTAAAAAAAGAATTATTGCAGAAAGGCCTTCCATAACTTTACATTATAATGAATTCTTTGAATTATTTTTGTAATATATATATATTTTTAAGATTTTTAAAAATTATCTTTAGAGGGGAAGGGAAGGAGAGAGGGAGAGAAATATCAATGTATGGTTGCCTCTCGTGCATCCCCTAACGGGAACTGGCCTGCAACCCAGGCATGTGCCCTGACTGGGAATTGAACTGCGATCTTTTGGTTCACAGGCCCACGCTTAATCCACTGAGCTACACCAGCCAGGGGGTATATTCTTTTTAATTAAAAAAAAAGAAAGGCAAAGTTACGACATAGGGAGGACTGAACTCAGATCCACCTGAGTGCAGGCGGACACCATACGTTCTTCCTCCTTCACCAAGCCTCCCTGGAGAGAAGCAACCATGCCGCCAGAAAGAGTCTGTGTTACTCTCAAGAGCAGAGAGCATTGTCAGATGAAAACTGTGAGTTCTATGCTCTCAGAGGACCAAGCTGGTCCTAATACCCACGGTTCAGCACGCACTGGGGGAGGCAGCATTTTCTTGCATTTATGGGGGTTAGTCGTCACCTACACAAGACTTGCTGCAGAAGCTGTGATTTTTCTGGAAAGGGTAGTAGGAAAGAACATTGATTCCTAACTCACTCAGAAGGCAGTAATTTGATTCTTAAAAACATAGTAGCTTTAGGATTCTACCCTTCCCCTCACCTAGCAATGAATGATGTGTTTTTACCTTGCCAAACATGTCACAGGAAGCCTGCAGCTGTTCTGTGATGGGTGAAATACTCACCTCCTTCCCCTTCCCCTGGCCTCCAGCCAGCGTGCCCACCCGGTGTGCCTTCTCCCACGCCTGCCAAGGAGCCCTCTGTTGCAGACTGTATTACTGTAGACTGTGTCACCCACTACGGGGCCAGCCTGAGGCCTGGCCATGGGACTTCTTTGGCATCGAGAAATGTTCACTTCTTGACAGAAGCTTAATGGGCCAGCCTGTGGTTCACCAGATTCTCCTTCCCTGCTCCCAAGACCACAGATCCCCCAGAGATGGTGCCTCTGTCCACCTGGGTCCCTGAGTGACCACGATGAGCACAGCGCCTTGACGAAAACACGGCATGAGTGAAAAAATAAACTTTGTTGTTTTATGCCCCCGGCAGCTTGAGGGGCATTTATTACTGCAATATAACCTAGCTTATCGTTACCCTACCCCACCACACAGGCCATGGAGTGGCTGGTTTCCTGCCCAGCAACCCGAATGCCAGCCCAGATGGTAGGTAAGCCATGTTCCATACACGAACACACGATTTCCAAGCAGCTTCCCTATTCACTGTTTCAGAAAAGAGAACAGTCTTCAACTCTCAGAGATTTAAAAAGCTTCCTCATGACAGTGGTATGAAGTAAGCCACCACAGCCATTTTGTGTCTCCACAAAACTCCATGATGTGTGAAGAGAAACAGGAAATAAAACCAAAGCAGAAAAATTCTGTTCACCAGATGGTTTAACGTCACGCTTAACTTTCCTTCTCATGACCTCACTAAAGTTATAGGGAAGGAACAAAAAAGGTACAAACTCACCTGACACATAAAATGGGAACAGTTACATTAGAAGGGGAAATTTACTAAACTTTTTGAAACAAAAAAGGATGAAAAGGCTCCCATTTTTAGCAATATGGAGAACTATAGAGCATGAAAAAATGCAAACCCAAAAACCAACTACAAAGCTGACATGAGTATATATTTGATCTGTTAGAATGTGTCAAAGATCTACCATTTTTAGGATTTTCTTTCTTTCATTTAGTTTTTAGCGAACGGTTTAAGGTAGGCATCTGCCTTTTTCCAAATGGTTATCTGCTTATTTCAATAAAATTTATTTAAAACTCTGTCTTCTCTAAAGTGATGCAAGAGGCCATCTTTATTATATACCAAATTTCCATTAGGACTTGGGTCTAGGCAATCGGACTAATGAAACATGA